AGGCTTTTACAGTACTGCACTGGGCATGCTCAAGAGGTTATAGAGTGCTGTGTAATCATGAATCCAGAGATTGGTTACATTCAAGCCAGAAAGTTACTGTTGGAGAGATTTGGCAATCAATATGTCATCGCTAAAGCAGGGGTGGATAAGGTGACAGAAGTCCCCAACTTGAAACCTAATGACAGTGCTGGACTGAGAAGATATGCGGATTCTGTTAGAAGCTGTGTGGTTTCACTTACAGCAATGAGCAGACTGGGCGAAATCGACAATCAATTGAGAATGAGAAAGATTGTAGAGAAGCTTCCCTTCTTTATTCAAGGTAGATGGAGAAAAGAAGCTGTAAATGTTTTAAAGCGCAATGGTCAGTATCCAGGAATTGGGCATCTTGCTGAATTTATAGAAATTGTTGCTGAAGAACTGGATGACCCGGTGTTTGGAATCAGTGTAAAGGATTCTACAGAGAAACCACCTCCACAAAGGACAAGCGTCAAGTGTAAGTCAGCTTCCAATTTTATTGCACAAGGGAACATTACTCAGGAAAACAGAAGCCTTCATGAACAGCCACAGAGAGCTTGTAAATGTTGTACTGGCAGTCATCCTCTTTACCAGTGTCCTACTTTCAAGAAGATGACTTTACAGAAGAGACTGGAGTTTACAATAAGACAGAAGTTGTGCTTTAATTGTTTCTCATCAAGGCATTTGTCATCTCGATGTATGAAGGACAGCATGTGTGACAATAGCAGTTGTAAACAACATAACCGGAAGCATTCCAGTTTGCTCCATGACAGTTCAAGGACATCTTTGAAATCTGTTAAAGAGCCGAGGCCAGACAGCCAGGATATGAATCCCACGTTACAATCTTCAAGTTGCAGTGAGCATGCAGAGAACAAGATTCAGTCAAGCTCAGTGTATGGAGTCAATGGGGCCGGAGGAACAAGAATAGCTCTCCCCATAGTTCCTGTCTGTGTGAAAGGATGTAGTGAACATGAAGTAATTAAGACTTATGCTTTGTTAGACCCAGGAAGCACAAATACCTTTTGTTCCAAAGACAAATACTTTGAAGTTGGATGGCAGTGGTGCTATGCTTTCTTTAAATACTCTTACTGACAAAAGCTATGAGTCTCAGACAGAGGTTGTCTCCCTTAGCTTAACAGACATCAATGGAAGACATGTTACAAACATGTCAAATGTATTTGTGCTCTCTCAGATGCCTGTGTTAGAAGGCAGTGCTGTATCACAGTGTGATGTTGACAAATGGAAACACTTTCAAGGGATTGAACTACCCAGGGTTGAAGGCAAATTTGCCAAAGTGACAGTGCTGATAGGTCAAGACAATCCGTTAGTTTTAACCCCACTTGAGGTGCGATCAGGGAAAGCTGATGAGCCCTATGCCACAAAAACAATATTCAGATGGGCCATCAGTGGACCTCTACAAAGAGGCATTCAGCAAGACATGACGTCCAACTTTGTGCAAGTTGAAGCTAACTTAGAATCACAAGTCGAGAAGTTCTGGCATCTGGACAATGTGAGTGATGGAAGATCACAACTTTCATTCCATGACAAGCAGGTCATTCGATTATGGGACAATACTGTTGAGAGGGAGAAGAGGCATCACAAGGTACCTATACCTTTCAAAGTAAATCCCCCTAATTTGCCTAACAATTTCTGCATGGCAGAAACCCGCCTAGTATCATTAACCAAGAAGCTGTCTAGGAATGATGATATGTATGAGCATTACAAAGCAGGTATTGATGACATGGTGTACAAAGGCTATGCAGAGAAGGTTCCTGATGATGAAGTATGTATTGATGATGGATCAGTCTGGTACCTCCCTCATCATGTAGTCACCAGTGACAAGAAGCCAGGGAAATTCAGAATTGTGTTTGACTGTTCAGCCACGTTTGGTGGAATCAGCTTAAATGAATCAGTTCATCAAGGTCCAGATTTAACCAATACTTTGATGGGTGTACTGTTGCGCTTCCGTGAGAAAAGGATTGCCATCGCCGGTGATATTGAATCAATGTATCACAGAGTAAAGGTTGCTGATCAACATCGCAATGCTTTGAGGTTCCTTTGGTGGAAGAATGGTGAACTAGGTGGAGATATAGAGGTCTATAGGATGACATCACATCTATTTGGTGGCATATGGAGCTCCAGTTGTGCCAATTATGCACTGAGGAAAGCTGCAGCAGACAATGTGGATGATTTTGATAAAGATACAATTCAGACTGTTACTGACAATTTTTATGTAGATGATTGTCTGAAATCTGTTGATTCCAAGGAGAAAGGTATCAAGTTTGTTCAGAATGTGTGTGATCTCCTACAGAGAGGAGGTTTAAGGCTCACAAAATGGACCAGTAATAGTAGAACAGTACTCCAGAGTATCCCAGTTGAGGAAAGAGCCAAAGAGTTGAAAGACATCAATCTGTGCGATGATGAGCTCCCTCAAGAGAAGGCTCTTGGCGGGAAATGGGACACTGAAACTGATCAGCTTGGTTTCAAATTCCAACCAAAGAATAGGCCTGCAACCAAGAGAGGTCTCCTCAGTATACTTACCTCTGTCTATGATCCAATAGGATTCTTGTCACCACTGATCTTAAAGGCAAAGATGATATTTCAGGATGAATGTCGACTCTGAAAAGGATGGACAAACTGGCTGTCTAAGCTGTGTCATATTGAAGACTTCACTGTCCCAAGATGTGTGATTCCGAATGACTTTTGTGAAATGATGTCTGCTGAATTACACCATTTTCCGGATGCTTCAACAGCAGGATATGGTGCTGTATCGTATGTCAGGATCGTTGATTCATGTGGAAGAATCCATTGCTCCTTTCTGATGGCGAAGTCGAGATTAGCGCCAATCAAAAGTATCACAATACCAAGGCTTGAACTCTGTGCGGCTGTGCTGAGTGTAAAACTTGATGAAATGTTACGCAAAGAACTGAGAATGGAAACCGAACAATCTTCATTTTGGACAGACAGCATGATAGTACTACACTATATCAAAAATGACTTTCAAAGATACCAAACGTTTTTCGCCAACAGAGTGACACAAATTCGTGAAGGTTCTTCACCACAAAGTTGGAGATAATATGTCCCATCATCACTCAATCCCGCTGATGATGCATCTCGTGAACTTGATGCTGATGAACTACTTGCAAAGGGAAACTGGTTGCAGGGACCGAGCTTCCTGTGGGAGAATAAAGATACTTGGCAAAAACACCAACAGTACTTCCTGTGTCAGGAGAGGATTTGGAAGTTAAGAAAGTGAAGGTCAACTTTGCAAGTTCTGACAAGGTTGAACCATCCACTACAGATCGACTCCTTAGCCGATATTCCTCTTGGTACCACCTCAAGAAAATGGTTGCTTGGATACTGAGACTAAAGCACTGTTTGTTAAAACATGTCCGAGAGGGAAATTCTGAAGAAAGGATTTCCATGGAACCTCTTGTTGTTTCCGAGATGAAACAAGCTGAAACTGAAATTGTTAGGTACACTCAGAATCTTGCATTTCGGCTTGAAGTGGAATGTCTTCTAAATGACCGCTCCATCACAAAATCAAGCCCAATTTACTTACTTGAACCATTCTTGAATCAAGATGGAATACTATGTGTAGGAGGGCGTTTGAATAATGCTCCAATATCTGAAGAATCTAAACATCAGATGATCCTACCAAAAGGACATGATATTGTCACGTTGATTGTTCGTTGTTATCATGAATAATTAGGTCATTCAGGGACTGAGCATGTTCTGTCACATGTAAGACAAAGGTTCTGGGTCATCAGTGCTCGCAGAACAATCAGAAAAGTACTGAAAGACTGTGTCAAATGCAAACGATTACAAGGAAAACGCTCCCATCAGAAAATGGCAAATCTACCAGAAGACCGAGTCACACCTGGAAAACCACCATTTGCTCACACAGGTGTGGATTGTTTTGGACCGTTTCTGATCAAACGTGGGAGAAGCGAAGTTAAGGGATATGGTTGTATCTTTACCTGTTTAACAACAAGAGCTATTCACCTTGAGAAGCTAGACAGCATGGACACGGATTCCTTCATAAATTCTTTGAGATGGTTTGAAGCACGAAGAGGCGTCCCACATATAGTACGTTCTGATAATGGAACCAACTTTCGAGGAGCTCAGAAGGAATTAAGAGAAGCAATTCTGTCATGGAATCACCATGAAATCCAGGAACACATGCTACAGAAAGAAATTCAGTGGATGTTTAATCCCCCATCTGCCTCTCACATGGGAGGAGTTGGGGAGAGACAGATTAGGACCGTGAGGAAAGTACTGAATGCATTATTGTATCAACAGTATGGCCTGCATGATGAAGGATTGTCAACATTGTTCTGTGAAGTGGAGGCAATTGTCAACACTAGGCCAATAACCATCGTATCTGACAGCCCCAGTGATATGGAGCCACTTACACCAAATCATATCTTGTTGCTGAGATCAGGAAATTCCTCACCTCCAGGTTCAGTTCCTTGCGGACCAGTTCTTGAAATGATGGCTCAAGGAATACTTACCAGGCTAACAGCTCCGTCAAAAGTGGTTACAATCTACAGTGAATCTCCAAGTGGGAGACATAGTGCTACTTGTAAATGATAATTCTCCAAGATGTGTGTGCCCTCTCGCGAGAATCACAAATGTGTTCCCGGGCAAAGATGGTCTAGTGCGATCGATTGAAGTGAAAACTAAAGACTCTCTGTTAATAAGGCCAATAAGCAAAGTGTGTCTACTAGAATCAGTTTATGATGCATGAAAGTGATGAAACAAAAGACCACGATGTGAGATGGAAATAAAAACCTGAGCGGTTGAACATTGAATGTGAAGGACTGATATGACCTTAATATGGAGTTATAATGTTAAATGTTTCACATTTAAGGGGCCGGGAATGTAGGCTACCACTTGTGAGGATAAGTCATTTTAGTTCTTTTATGAGAGCTTCATTTAATTCTCTAATGTTTTGGTTTATCCTGGTTAATCATCCGGGTTATAGTCAGTGCATGGACAAGCACGTGGACGTAAGCAGAATGACATGAACTTGTGTAGGGTGTAAATGGTCCATAAAATTTGTAAGTATTAACAATATATATAAGGAACAACATGTAAATCATAACTAGCAATGCTATAACAAATGTAAATTGTGTAAAAGGGTAAATTGCATGTTGAGAAGGTTGAAGTGTGTATCACAGATGTTTCGTTTAAAATCCGAAAATAACATAACATGTACTTACTACCTTAGTTACAAGTTGTAATATTTCCCATTTGTTTTTATTATAGCTTTTACCTGTCAACAATAGGCCTTACAATTAAAGGGCCAGTAAAAGAATTTGAATGAAAGACATAATACAAAATATCTGTCAATATTTCAAAACTGAACCAAGAATGTATTCATCAATCTATGCTGAAGTTATAAAATAAACCATTCAAGACAGTGTACTGGATTATGTGTCAATGGCCAAAGTGTATCACCTACAGATGTGACTGTTGTATTGTGTACAGATGTGACTGATGTATTGTGTACAGATGTGACTGTTGTATTGTGTACAGATGTGACTGTTGTATTGTGTACAGATGTCACTGTTGTATTGTGTACAGATGTGACTGTTGTATTGTGTACAGATGTGACTGATGTATTGTGTACAGATGTGACTGTTGTATTGTGTACAGATGTGTCTGTTGTATTGTGTACAGATGTCACTGTTGTATTGTGTACAGATGTGACTGTTGTATTGTGTACAGATGTGACTGTTGTATTGTGTACAGATGTGACTGTTGTATGTGGCTGTAATGTGAGATATTGACTGTTGTATCCGACATGGATGTGACTGTTGTATTGTGTACAGATGTGACTGTTGTATGTGTCTGTAATGTGAGACATTGACTGTTGTATCCGACATGGATGTGACTGTTGTATTGTGTACAGATGTCACTGTTGTATGTGGCTGTAATGTGAGATATTGACTGTTGTATCCGACATGGATGTGACTGTTGTATTGTGTACAGATGTGGGTGTTGTACGTGGCTGTAATGTGAGATATTGACTGTTGTATCCGACATGGATGTGACTGTTGTATTGTGTACAGATGTGACTGTTGTATGTGTCTGTAATGTGAGACATTGACTGTTGTATCCGACATGGATGTGACTGTTGTATTGTGTACAGATGTCACTGTTGTATGTGGCTGTAATGTGAGATATTGACTGTTGTATCCGACATGGATGTGACTGTTGTATTGTGTACAGATGTGGGTGTTGTACGTGGCTGTAATGTGAGATATTGACTGTTGTATCCGACATGGATGTGACTGTTGTATTGAGTACAGATGTGACTGTTGTATGTGGCTGTAATGTGAGATATTGACTGTTGTATCCGACATGGATGTGACTGTTGTATTGTGTACAGATGTCACTGTTGTATGTGTCTGTAATGTGAGACATTGACTGTTGTATCCGACATGGATGTGACTGTTGTATTGTGTACAGATGTCACTGTTGTATGTGGCTGTAATGTGAGATATTGACTGTTGTATCCGACATGGATGTGACTGTTGTATTGTGTACAGATGTGGGTGTTGTACGTGGCTGTAATGTGAGATATTGACTGTTGTATCCGACATGGATGTGACTGTTGTATTGTGTACAGATGTGACTGTTGTATGTGGCTGTAATGTGAGATATTGACTGTTGTATCCGACATGGATGTGACTGTTGTATTGTGTACAGATGTGACTGTTGTATGTGTCTGTAATGTGAGACATTGACTGTTGTATCCGACATGGATGTGACTGTTGTATTGTGTACAGATGTCACTGTTGTATGTGGCTGTAATGTGAGATATTGACTGTTGTATCCGACATGGATGTGACTGTTGTATTGTGTACAGATGTGACTGTTGTATGTGGCTGTAATGTGAGATATTGACTGTTGTATCCGACATGGATGTGACTGTTGTATTGTGTACAGATGTGACTGTTGTATGTGGCTGTAATGTGAGATATTGACTGTTGTATCCGACATGGATGTGACTGTTGTATTGTGTACAGATGTCACTGTTGTATGTGGCTGTAATGTGAGATATTGACTGTTGTATCCGACATGGATGTGACTGTTGTATTGTGTACAGATGTGACTGTTATATGTGGCTGTAATATGAGATATTGACTGTTGTATCCGACATGGATGTGACTGTTGTATTGTGTACAGATGTGACTGTTGTATGTGGCTGTAATGTGAGATATTGACTGTTGTATCCGGCATGGATGTGACTGTTGTATTGTGTACAGATGTGTCTGTTGTATGTGGCTGTAATGTGAGACATTGACTGTTGTATCCGACATGGATGTGACTGTTGTATTGTGTACAGATGTGACTGTTGTATGTGGCTGTAATGTGAGATATTGACTGTTGTATCCGACATGGATGTGACTGTTGTATTGTGTACAGATGTGGGTGTTGTACGTGGCTGTAATGTGAGATATTGACTGTTGTATCCGACATGGATGTGACTGTTGTATTGTGTACAGATGTGACTGTTGTACGTGGCTGTAATGTCAGATATTGACTGTTGTATCCGACATGGATGTGACTGTTGTATTGTGTACAGATGTGACTGTTATATGTGGCTGTAATATGAGATATTGACTGTTGTATCCGACATGGATGTGACTGTTGTATTGTGTACAGATGTGTCTGTTGTATGTGACTGTAATGTGAGACATTGACTGTTGTATCCGACATGGATGTGACTGTTGTATTGTGTACATATGTGACTGTTGTATGTGGCTGTAATGTGAGATATTGACTGTTGTATCCGACATGGATGTGACTGTTGTATTGTGTACAGATGTGACTGTTGTATGTGGCTGTAATGTGAGATATTGACTGTTGTATCCGACATGGATGTGACTGTTGTATTGTGTACAGATGTGACTGTTGTATGTGTCTGTAATGTGAGATATTGACTGTTGTATCCGACATGGATGTGACTGTTGTATTGTGTACAGATGTCACTGTTGTATGTGGCTGTAATGTGAGATATTGACTGTTGTATCCGACATGGATGTGACTGTTGTATTGTGTACAGATGTCACTGTTGTATGTGGCTGTAATGTGAGATATTGACTGTTGTATCCGACATGGATGTGACTGTTGTATTGTGTACAGATGTGACTGTTATATGTGGCTGTAATATGAGATATTGACTGTTGTATCCGACATGGATGTGACTGTTGTATTGTGTACAGATGTCACTGTTGTATGTGGCTGTAATGTGAGATATTGACTGTTGTATCCGGCATGGATGTGACTGTTGTATTGTGTACAGATGTGTCTGTTGTATGTGGCTGTAATGTGAGACATTGACTGTTGTATCCGACATGGATGTGACTGTTGTATTGTGTACAGATGTGACTGTTGTATGTGGCTGTAATGTGAGATATTGACTGTTGTATCCGACATGGATGTGACTGTTGTATTGTGTACAGATGTCACTGTTGTATGTGGCTGTAATGTGAGATATTGACTGTTGTATCCGACATGGATGTGACTGTTGTATTGTGTACAGATGTGACTGTTGTATGTGTCTGTAATGTGAGACATTGACTGTTGTATCCGACATGGATGTGACTGTTGTATTGTGTACAGATGTCACTGTTGTATGTGGCTGTAATGTGAGATATTGACTGTTGTATCCGACATGGATGTGACTGTTGTATTGTGTACAGATGTGACTGTTGTATGTGGCTGTAATGTGAGATATTGACTGTTGTATCCGACATGGCTCTGACTGTTGTATTGTGTACAGATGTGGGTGTTGTACGTGGCTGTAATGTGAGATATTGACTGTTGTATCCGACATGGATGTGACTGTTGTATTGTGTACAGATGTGACTGTTGTACGTGGCTGTAATGTCAGATATTGACTGTTGTATCCGACATGGATGTGACTGTTGTATTGTGTACAGATGTCACTGTTGTATGTATCTGTAATGTGAGATATTGACTGTAGTATCCGACATGGATGTGACTGTTGTATTGTGTACAGATGTGACTGTTGTATGTGGCTGTAATGTGAGATATTGACTGTTGTATCCAACATGGATGTGACTGTTGTATTGTGTACAGATGTGACTGTTGTATGTAGCTGTAATGTGAGATATTGACTGTTGTATCCGACATGGATGTGACTGTTGTATTGTGTACAGATGTGGCTGTTGTATGTGGCTGTAATGTGAGATATTGACTGTTGTATCCGACATGGATGTGACTGTTGTATTGTGTACAGATGTGACTGTTATATGTGACTGTAATGTGAGATATTGACTGTTGTATCCGACATGGATGTGACTGTTGTATCCCACATGGATGTGACTGTTGTATGTGGCTGTAATGTGAGATATTGACTGTTGTATCCGACATGGATGTGACTGTTGTATTGTGTACAGATGTGACTGTTGTATGTGGCTGTAATGTGAGATATTGAGTGTTGTATCCGACATGGATGTGACTGTTGTATCCGACATGGATGTGACTGTTGTATGTGGCTGTAATGTGAGATATTGACTGTTGTATCCGACATGGATGTGACTGTTGTATCCGACATGGATGTGACTGTTGTATGTGGCTGTAATGTGAGATATTGACTGTTGTATCCGACATGGATGTGACTGTTGTATTGTGTACAGATGTCACTGTTGTATGTGGCTGTAATGTGAGATATTGACTGTTGTATCCGACATGGATGTGACTGTTGTATTGTGTACAGATGTCACTGTTGTACGTGGCTGTAATGTGAGATATTGACTGTTGTATCCGACATGGATGTGACTGTTGTACTGTGTACAGATGTGACTGTTGTATGTGGCTGTAATGTGAGATATTGACTGTTGTATCCGACATGGATGTGACTGTTGTATTGTGTACAGATGTCACTGTTGTATGTGGCTGTAATGTGAGATATTGACTGTTGTATTCGACATGGATGTGACTGTTGTATTGTGTACAGATGTCACTGTTGTATGTGGCTGTAATGCGAGATATTGACTGTTGTATCCGACATGGATGTGACTGT